GATATAAACAAAAAAAAGTTAGTGTTTACTTTCCTATGTTGGGGAACAAAGAAAACTCCAGGGTACTTTGCTTCCCATTTCTCTAGCACTTTGTGACTTTTGGGGCAGGGCAGACTGATAAGAATTACGCTTTTCCTTTCCTGCTGATAACCATTAACCTGGCAGCAGCATTGGCTAATTCTGCTGTCCTCTGTGTCCTCCAAGGAGCAGGAGTCCTAGACTCTGGGGAGTTCACAGACTCACGTGGTGGTGTAAGCAAGTTGGGCTGCTACCTGGAAGACAGGCAGGATAGAATGTGAGGCTGGGAGTTGCTCCAAACCTGAAACAACTTTTTATATCACAGTTCCAACTCAGGGTGAACCTGAGCACCTTCCCAAGTCTCCCGCAGCTTCTGCTGTATGGTGTCCCTTCTCTTGACTCCCAACTCCAGGCACTGACCCTGTTCTTTCACGATCAGGTGCCATGTGTGGAGATAGCTTCCAAAAGAGCTGGGAGGAAGACAGGTTACACTCAGGCAATATCAGGAACACGGGGGGCCCCAGAAGAAGGGGAGAATGGGGGCAGGGTACAGGTTTTAAATAAAACCTATTGGGTAATTGGAGAAGTTGGTGGTTGGGGAAGAGGACTGAAAACAAGTTAGGAAGATATACAAGCAATCTCTCCTTTCTCCTCTGTCTCACATTGTCTCTCCTGTCTTCTAGTCTTGCCACTCATTTCCTTAGTCATCTCATCCACTCTCATAGTTTCATCCATCTCTCCTGTGGGGTTTACTCCCACATCAAGATCACCAGCTTCTGCCTCTTTCTTATGCTCTAAACTTGCATTTTCCAGATTAATCTTCCCCAAATACAGCTCTGATCATATCACTTTCACACTCAAAATCCCTTAGTGGCTCCTCCACTATAATGGGTCACAGGGTAAAAGGTGAAACTCTTTAACCCCGCAGAAAAGGTAATTCAACCTGATCTCAATCTGCCTTTCTAGACATCTCTCTCACTACACCCTGTCAGGCACACTACTTTTCAGCTACATGATCCTAATAGTGCCCCACACTTTCCTGCCTCTGTTGTTCATTTCACACCCCTCCACTGGTATCCCCTTCCTACAGAGCAAAAATCTACTCAGCCTTTTGGCTCAGCTCAAATGCCACCTCTTCTATCAAGCCTCCAAGATTCTCTTGATCAGAAGGAATCTTTCCCTCCTCTGATACCTATAGTATTACGCCTTTTCCCTATTTCTTGACTTTAAGCTCTTTAAAGTTAAAAATCATTGTATTCATTTTTGTGTACCATCAGTACCTAGCACAATACTTAGTAAACATTTTAATGAATAAATAAACTGAGAGTACTAAGTATTTTTCTTGATTGGTCTTACAGCTGGGGAGAAAATTGGGGAAACAAAGGATATATCCTCATGGCTCGAAATAAGAACAACGCCTGTGGCATTGCCAACCTGGCCAGCTTCCCCAAGATGTGACTCCGGCCAGCCAAACCCATCCTGCTCTTCCATTTCTTCCACGATGGTGCAGTGTAATGATGCACTTTGGGAGGGAGTTGGTGTGCAGCTTTCGAAGCAGGTGTGATGGTACTGAGATTGTCTGTTCAGTTTCTCCACTTGTTTGTGCTTCAAAGGATCCTTCCCACTTTGCTTCTCTCCACCTGTGACCTTTTTCACTGTAGCCATCAGGACTTTCCCCGACAGGTGTGTACTCTTAGGCTAAGAGATGTGACTATAGACTGCCCCTGACTGCGATGTCCCAGGGCTGATGCTGTGCAGGTAGAGGCCAGAGATTTTCAGAGAGGTTAGATTCTCATTCACTAGTTAGCTTTAGCCACTCTAGAGGACTGGGGTGATCTGACTTCTCACTTTCTAAGTTCTCTTCTATATCCTCAAGGTAGAAATGTCTGTGTTCTCCACTCCAATTGAGAAATCTATTCATAAGTCGTTGGTACAAGTTTACACGAATAAAAGAAATGTGATTTATCTCCCCTTCTTGCATTTTTGAAATAAAGTATTTATCCCTTATCTACAGTTTAAAAAATAGCATCTAGTTCACATTCATTTTGTGTTAGATACTGTGCTAGGTGCTGGAGGGAAGAAGGTGAATAGAACATTTTCTCTCTACTTGATGCGCCCACAGTCTGGTTGTAGAGATTTTTATGTAAACAGTTCATTTATTTGTTCATTCCTTCAGCCAATTTTATTGAGTGCTTACTCTGTACTAAGAACTGTACATTTCTGGGATTAACTAGATATAAGGAGATCTCAATATTTAATTCTGCCTGAGGGGAGACTGGATTAAGTGATATGGAAACTTGGGTCTTGAAACATATTTTAAGAGTCTTTTTTCTTTTCTCTCTCTCTCTCTCATCTGGGTCTCCCTCTGTTGCCCAGACTGGAGTCAGTGGCACTCATAGCTCACTGCAGCCTTGATCTCCTGGGCTCAAGAGTTGTTCCCATCTCAGTCTCCTAAGTAGCTTGGACTACAGTGAACAATGCCATGCATAGCTGACTTTTTAAAAATTATTTTTGGGAGGCCAAGGTGGGAGGATCGCCTGAGCCCAGCAGTTTAAGACCAGCCTGTTTCCCTATGTCAGCCAGACTGGTCTCAAACTGCTGGGTGCAGGCAATTCTCCCACCTCGGCCTCCCAAAGTGCTGGAATTAGAAGTGCGGGCCACTGCATCCAGCATGACACTGTTGGTAAGATGGCAATAATCTCCAAATTGATCTACAGAATTAACACGATTTGTATTAAAATCCCAGCTGGCTTCTTTGCAGAAATTGGCAAGCTGACCCTAAGATTCGTATGGACATTCAAGAGCTTCAGAATAGCCAAAACTATCTTGAAAAAGAACAAAGTTGGAGGATTTGCTCTTCTCAATTTCAAAACGTAACTACAAACCAACAGTAGTCAAGAAAATGTGACATAAAATAGGCATACAGATCAATGGACTAGAATTCAGGGTGTAGAAGTAAACCACGTTCAGTTGACATGGGGTGCCAAGACAATTCAAGGTGAAAGAATAGTCTTTTCAAAACATCATGCTGGACAACTGAGTAAAAACATGCAGGAGAATGAAGTTGGAACACTGCTTCACACCACATAAAAAATTAATTCAAAATGATTAAACGCCTAAAGGTAAGAGCTAAAACTCTTAGGAAACAAAGGGGTAAATCTTCCTGACCTTGCATCAGGCAGTGGTTATGACACCACAGCACAAGCAACAACAACAAAAACTTAGGGCTGGGCGCTGTGGCTTATGCCTGCAATCCCAGCACTTTGGAGGTTGAAGTGGGCGGATGGCCTGAGGTCAGCAGTTTGAGAACAGCCTGACCAACATGGTAAAACCCTGTCTCTACTAAAATACAAAAATCAGTTGGGCGTGGTGGTGGGCACCTGTAATCCCAGCTACTTGGGAAGTTGAGGAAGGCGAATCGTTTGTGAGGTGGAGGTTGCAGGGAGCCAAGGTCACACCACTGCACTCCAACCTGGGCAACAGAGCAAGACTCCATCTCAAAAAAAAAGATAAATTGAACCTCTATCAAAATTAGAAATTTTTGTGCATCAAAGGACACTATTAAGAGAGGGAAAAGATAACACAGAATGAGAGAAGATATCCATAAGTTATATATGTGATAAAAGAATTAATATCCAGAATATGTAAAGCATCCCCACAACTCAACGATTAAAAAAAAATTAAAAATGGGCAAAAGACTTGAACACATAGTTACCAAAACAGATATACACATGGTCAATAAGCACATCACTAGCCTATAAGGAAAGGTAAACCAAAAGCACAATGTCATATACTTAATCCCCATTAGAGTGGCTATGATAACACCACCACAAACCCAGAATATAGCAAGTGTTGGTGAGGATGTGGAGAAACCGGAACTCTTGTACATTATTAGTGGGAATGTAACAGGGTGCAGCTGCAGTGGAAAAGTTTGTTGGTTCCACAAACACTTAAACATAGAATTACCATATAATCCATCAATTCCACTCCTAGGTAAAGATCCAAAAGAACTGAATGCTGGAGTTCAAACTTACTCATACACCCAATGTTCTTAGCTGCATTATTCACAAGAGCCAAAAGGTAGAAACAAGCCAGGGTCCATTAACAGATGAATGGATGGCCTAATGTGGTAATATTCTATACCTGGAATATTATTTGGTCATAAAAAGAAATAAAATTCTGGCCGGGACGGTGGCATGCCTGTGTAGTCCCAGCTACTAGGGAGGCTAAGGTGGGAGGATCGCTTGAGCCCAGAAGTTTGAATCCAGGCTGGGCAACATAGTGAAACCCATCTCAAGAAAGAAAGAGAAAGAAAAAAGGAAACTCAGCCAAGCGAAGTGCCTCACACTTTGTAATCCAGCATTTTGGGAGGTCAAGGGAGGGTAGATCACTTGAGGCCAGGGGTTCGATACTAGCCTGGCCAGCCTGGTGAAACCCCATCTCTACTAAAAATACAAAAATTAGCTGGGTGAGGTGGCTCACGCCTATAATCCCAGTTACTTGGGAGGCTGAGGCACAAGAATTGCTTGAACCCAGGAGGTGGAGGTTGCAGGGAGCTGCAATTGCACCATTGCACTCTAGCCTTGGTGACAGTGAGATTCTATCTCAAAAAAAAAGGAAACTCCTCACTTCCTCACTTCAAAAAAGAAGAAATAACATTCTGGTACATACTATAACATGGATGAACCTTGAAAACATGATAAGTGAAATAAGCCACATACAACCGGACAAATATTGTGATTCCACTTATTGTGAGGCATTTAGAATAGGCAAGTTCAGAGACATTAAGGAAAGTAGAATGGGGGTACTGGGAGTTGGGGAGGGAGTAGGATGGGGAGTTCTTTCTTAATGGATATAAGTTTCTGTTAGGGACCATGTTCTAAATGGGAGAAGCTTGGGTGTGTTGGGGTGAGGGGTACATTGGAATTCTATACGTTTTGCTCAATTTTGCTGTGAGCCTAAAATTGTTCTAAAATTTTTTTTTAAGTTCTAGAAATGATAGTTACACAACATTGTGAATATACTTAATGCAACTGAATTGCATACTTTAAAAACGGTTAAAATGGCAATTTTTTTTTTTTGAGACAGAGTCTCACCCTGTCACTCAAGTTGGAGTGCAATGGTGTGATCTCGGCTCACTGCAACCTCCGCCTCCTGGGTTCACACGATTCTCCTGCCTCAGCCTTCTGAGTAGCTGGGATTACAGGCATGCGCCACCACACCGGGCCAATTTCTTGTATTTTTAGTAGAGATGGGGTTTCACCATGTTGGCCAGCTTGATCTCAAACTCTTGATCTTGTTATCTGTCTGCCTCGGCCTCTCAAAGTACTGGAATTACAGGTGTGAGCCACCGTGTCCCACCTAAAATGACAATTTTTATGTATATTTTGCCACAGTTAAAAAATTGTTTAAATTAAAAGAGAAGTTCTAGTGACTATTTAAAACTTCATCTTTTAGCCATGTGATTGGAATTAAATATTGCTCAATCATTTTGTTGTTATTCTTCTCTACTTCTCTTATGGTCCATATTAGCAAATTCTGTCCCTGCCTCTTCAAAACATAATATGAATCTGGCCACTTCTCTCTCCCTCTACCGTGACTATATAGTTTAAGTTCCCATCGCTTCCCCTAGACTTATGTAACTGCCCTCCAACGCCCATAGTCTGTTCTTCCCTGTACACAACTCTCCCATTACTCTTTCATTTATTTAACAAATATGAAGCATCTGCTATGAGGCAGGCACTGTTCTGGAAATTCAACAGTGACAAAAATTCATGACCTCATTGAGTTTACATTTTAGTGAACTTAGAATATAATGCAAAAGTCTTAAATGGCCTACAAGCAGCATGATCTGGTCCCAGTCTTCTTTTTTTTTTTTTTAGACAGTGTCTCAGTCTGTCACCCAGGCTGGATGGAATGCAGTGTCGCAATTACGGCTCAAGCAATCCTCTCACCCTCAAGCTTTCCTCTCACCTCAGCCTCCTGAGTAGCTGGGACTATAGGCACACATCACCACACCCAGCTAATTTTTGTATTTTTTGTAAAGATGAGGTTTTGCTATGTTGCCTGGGCTGGTCTGGAACTCCTGGACCCCAGTAATCCACTTGCTTCAGGCTCCCAAAGTGCCGAGATTACCAGCATGAGCCACCGCACCTGGCCCAGGCCACCTATTTCAGCCTGTGGTTTTGTGGAAAGTGGTTATCTAAACAAAATTCGAATGCTGTTAGAAATAAAATGTTGGTCAAGAAATGCCGACACCTATATAAAAGAGTGCTTATCTGGCCGGGCGCGGTGGCTCACGCCTGTAATCCCAGCACTTTGGGAGGCCGAGGCAGGTGGATCACGAGGTCAAGAGATCGAGACCATCCTGGTCAACGTGGTGAAACCCCGTCTCTTTTAAAAATACAAAAAATTAGCTGGGCATGGTGGCGCGTGCCTGTAATCCCAGCTACTCAGGAGGCTGAGGCAGGAGAATTACCTGAATCCAGGAGGCGGAGGTTGCAGTGAGCCGAGATCGCACCGTTGCACTCCAGCCTGGGTAACAAGAGCGAAACTCCGTCTCAAAAAAAAAAAGAGTGCTTATCAACACCTCTTCCCAGTGAGAAACAACCCAGGGTCTTATTTGGTTACTGTATTCAACTCTAAGACCAGGATTTTTGGCTGATGATTTCTTTCTCAAATTTGGATATGGTTCCTTGAGGCCTGGCAAGTAGATGCTTAATATTTGTTAAACAAATGAAAGAAAGAGTGATGGGAGAGTTTTGCATAGGGGAGTCATGTGACCTGCGGTACAGGGAAGAATAGACTGTAGGGCAGAGCTTAGCGTGGAGTAGGGAAGTTAGAGGGCACTTATGTAAGTCTAAGGGGAAATGGTGGGAACTTAACTGTGTGATCATGGTAGAGGGAGAGAGAAATGGCCAGATTTGCTTATGTTGGCTAAAACTTAAACTATCTTAGCCAATATATCTAAAAAAAAACAATGGCGAGGAACAGAGTAGTTACAATGAAAACTCTAATTCTGGAAAGAGGAGAATGAATGAAAAACAGCACAGTTATCATTGATCTGTAGCATAAATTACGTCCTGCTAGGCGGGAATATGGAAGACTCCCTTCCTGGCAGTAGAATGAGTTCCTTGGCTGGGTAACTAGGAAAAGCGAGGCTTGCTCTCTGTGGGGATCTTTTTTATGGTCCAGCATGGCTCTTGCTTCTTCCTGCTAGATGATCTTACTTGTCTCTTATTCTCCACGGCTATGCCAGAGATAGGCACGCGGAAATGCCCTTTCTGGGCATACCCTGTTCAACTTTAGCTGTGGTACGAATTGGAAACCTAGAAAGTACAGTAGATTGCAGGGCCTGGGGTTTCTTTGGTAATACATTCCCATAAAAGCTCAGTCGCTTTTGGTCTGAGTTGTCACACCCAAAAAAATGTTTTACTAGATAAAATATTTAAACCCGAGAATTTCAAACTCTTAGGAATCATCCTCAGTGCTGTGCCATCCTATAAACTTGTTTAATTGCTCTTGTCCTAAGTAGCTCGAAATCCATAAGAGCAGATGTACACCCATAATCTGAGCTATGCCCTCTTTCCTGGAAAAATGCTTACCTGGAAGTGCATGACAGAAGCCTCTAGTCTTACTTCTTGCTGAATCTTTTGCCTCCTTGCCTCTGCATTGTTTAGTGTGGTGCTTATTATTATTATTATTATATTTTGAGATGGAGTCTTGCTGTGTTGGTCAGGCTGGAGTGCAGTGGAACAATCTTGGCTCACTGCAGCCTCTGCCGCCTGAGTTCAGGCAATTCTCCTGCCTCAGAGTAGCTGGGACTACAGGGCTTTGTATTTGTTACTAGAGACGGGGTTTCACCATGTAGGTCATGCTGATCTTGAACTCCTAACTTCAAGTGATCCACCCACCTCGGCCTCTCGAAGGGCTGGGATTACAGGTGTGGGCCACTGTGCCCAGCCAGTTTGGTGCTTTTTCTACCCTATAAGGCTCTAAACTATGGTATTTTATATTGCAGGCTATGGGCAGAAAGAACTTCTCTTAGCAAAGCGATATATTATTCTCTCTAGGCTTTTAGGTGGAACACTTTCAGATTAAGTTACTTTCTTATATTCTTACTGAAGCTTACAGAAGGAGCCAACATGCTGAATTTCTCCTCTAATTTCTTCTTTTTCTTTTCTTTTCTTTTTTCTTTTTTTCTTTTTTTTTTTTTTTTGAGACAGTGCCTCACTCTGTTGCCCAGGCTTGAGTGCAGTGGCACAACAATCATGACTCACTGCAGCCTCGACCTCCTGCACTCAGGTGATCCTCCCATCTCAGCCTCCCAAGTAGCTGGGACTACAGGCGTGTGTCACCACACCCAGTTTGTATTTTGTAGAGAAGGGTTTTGCCATGTTGCTCAGGCTGGTCTCTAAATCCTAGCCTTGAGCGATTTGCCTGTCTCTGTCTCCCAAACTGCTGGGACTACAGGAGAGAGCCACTGTGCCTGGCACTATCATTTCTTGTCATACCACACTCCAGAGGGCCTGTGGTCTTACCCCAAAACAATAGGCAACAGATGTTTCATGAATTCATAATTTCCTGTTTGGACTAGAGTCCTCATTGCCCTACGCCCACACCCTCTATTCAGCTGATTCCACGTTCTAGTCTGTAACTTGTACCAAATTCTGAGTCAGTCAGAATTGGCTACGCTTCTTTGCAACAAAGAATCCCGTGATATAGGTCTTGCAGGCTGTGATTGTTTCACTTGCTCATTCTCCAACCAGACATTGTAGCCAGAGGGATACAAGGTTTTGACAGGCTGGCCTTGGGACCTATGCCCACTCTTGAAGTTAGGGGTAAGGTTGGTTCTATCTTAAGCCCAGGAGTGTCAGGGGGAGGTGGGTTTCCCCATTTTAAAGTCAGGGTGCTGTTACCACAGAAGGAGGAATGGAAACTAGGTGAAAAAAAAGAGTATACTTCCAGCACCCTTTAGCTTAGCTATTCTCAACTTTCCCTTATTACTATAGAGAAGACAGATGTTGTTCGCATTTTTGACACATTTCCATGGACATGCTCACAAAGGAATATCAGTTATTGGTAGCTGCCTGTAACTCTCTCCTTCTCTCTCCCAGAAAGCATGTTGGAATGCATATATATCAACATAATATTATTACAGGGATAATCTGCTGAATCGGCCCTCATTGTTAAACGTCACTTTCAAATGTTGGTCCTTTTTTTTTTTTTGAGACGGAGTTTCGCTCTTGTTACCCAGGCTGGAGTGCAATGGTGCAATCTCGGCTCACCGCAACCTCCGCCTCCTGGATTCAAGCAATTCTCCTGCCTCAGCCTCCAGAGTAGCTGGGACTTTACCACCATGCGCAGCTAATTTTTGTATTTTTAGTAGAGACGGGGTTTTACCTTGTTGACCAGGGTGGTCTTGATCTCTTGACCTCGTGATCCACCCGCCTCGGCCTCCCAAAGTGATGGGATTATAGGCGTGAGCCACCGCGCCCGGCCTGTTGGTACTTTTTTATTAGTCACAAATTTATTGTGACTTACCTTGTAATTAATTATAACACATCAAATGTGTCACACTCATTGCTATTCATTTGTCAGGGGAGGGGTCTTATCATTGGCTTCTAGAGTGCTCCCTAATTATGTCTTATTTTGTTCTCTTGGAAAATTAAGCTCCTTCTTTGAGCACACATTGCCAGGTGACAGAGAGTACCTATAGGATAATGGAGATATCTACTGGGATCAAGTAATGTACCAAGCAGATAAGCTACACAGAAAATCAGCAATAATATATATTTTCAATTCAGAACATTCTTATTTTCCCTAATGACTCAATAATTTTGTTTTTTTCTTCAGAAACAGTTATTGCATAATATTAACCTGAAATTAATTAAGGGGGAAACTCAACATCATGGCAAAATTATCTTTTCTAGTCCCATATTCCCCTATAGTCCATTAAAGGTATTCCTCACCTCACCTTTGTGCATTTCTTGGACAGTGGGGTCAGTAAGAAGTGAGCTATTTTATTATGAAAATAATGTCTGTTATTAAATTCCTAGCAGAGACTAAAACTAGCATTGGTGTCATCCTAAAATTCAAAATCTTTTTCTTTAAGACTAAATAAGGGCTGGGCATGGTAGTTCATGCCTGTAATCCCAGCACTTTGGGAGGCTGAGACAGGCAGATCACGAACTCTCACCTGAGGTCAAGAGTTCGCGGCCAGCCTGGCCAACATGGCCAAACCCCGCCTCTACTAAAAAAAAAAAAAAAAATACAAAAATTAGCCAGGCATGATGGCATGCCTGTAATCCCAGCTACTCAGGAGGCTGAGGCAGGAGAATTTCTTGAAGGTGGAGGCAGAGGTTGCAGTTTGCCAAGATTGAACCACTGCACTCCAGCCTGCGTGACAGAGCAAGACTCTGTCACAGAAAAAAAAAAAAAGAAACTTGATTTTCAGGGATCATGAAGCTAAGAGATGGTGACTTTAAAAGCTGGAGAAGGCACAACCATAACAAGTAGGGACAAAGCTTCCTTATTTTGCTTTAATTTCTCCTTTTTCAGGTTATTCAGGAGATGTTTCTTTATTTGTGATGAAAGGGGAGTCAGCATCCCTGGTAAGACTTAGCGTTATGCAGCAGTCTGAATAACAGTTGTGCAAAACACTTGCCTTGTTTTCTGTCTTTAATTACTACTTAATTAAATTCGCAACCGCAAGTATGCCCATTTCAGGGCAATTTACTGTAGAAAAATTAAATGTATAGCTTTGGAATGTCACAGGATGATGTTTAAGTTTATAAAATGCCTTAAGTGATACAAGGATAGATTATCTAATGAGGTGTTCCCCTAATGTATTCAAATACTGCGTTTACAGACTTTTACCTACCAGAAGGAGATTCAAAGAGAAACCTAAGGCTAAAAGCCTCAGAAGCCACTACCAAATCATGATGAATCAGAAATGAAGCCAAACCATGTAGAATATTATAATTAGGAAAATGTTTGTTGATTATCTAAATATGTGTTAAGCCACAGAAAGACAAATGTTTGTTGATTATCTAAATATGTGTTAAGCCACAGAACAAGACAAAGATGAGTAAGATAAGATCTTGTGTCTTCAAGTTAGCTAGTGAGATAAAAGTATCTTATGTGCTACAAATAGAGAATCAGAATTTCGTGGTACAATTTGTGTCATGAAAGTGTAGCTGGAGAGAAGAGGAGTAGGGTAGTCAGCAAAGGCTCTGCGAGGAGCCTCAGCCTCCCAAGTAGTTGGGACTACAGATGATGCACTAATTTTTTGTCTTTTTAGTAGAGATGGGGTTTCACCATGTTGGCCACACTGGTCTCAAACTCCTGACCTCAAGTGATCCACCAGCCTTGGCCTCCCAAAGTGTTGGGGTTATAGGCATGAGCCATTGCACTCAGCCAAAAATCTTTTTCAAATGGCAAACAGATTTTTAAAAATCTGAATAAAATGGGCTGGGTGCAGTGGCTTATTCCTGTAATCCCAGCACTTTGAGGGGGCCAAGGTGAGCAGACTGGCTGAGATCAGGAGTTCCACACCAGCCTAGGCAACACAGTGAAACCCTATCTCTACTAAAATACAAAAAATTAGCTGGGCATGATGACGAGTGCCTGTAGTTCCAGCTACTCGGGAGGCTGAGGCAGGAGAATTGCTTGAACCCCGGAGGCGGAGGTTGCAGTGAGCCCAGATCACGCCACTGCACTCCAGACTGGGCAACACAGTGAAACTCCCTCTCTTAAAAAAAAAAAAATTAAAATGCTCAGGAAAGGGGTCTAGAGCATGGAGAAAGAGCCTTGGAAGGCAGAGGTGCAGGGTTTCATGCAGCAGGCAACAGAAAACATTTAGAAAATGGTGTGGTAAAAATGTGTTTTAGGAGCACAGTTTGGTTGTGATGTGCAGGATGAGATTGCATAACAGACTGGATTGAAGGTGCCGAAATCATTTAATTCATCAGTAAATATTTGTTGAGTGCCTGCTGTATCATCACATCATACACTGTGGAGGACAGGAAGAAGAGTAAGAGCTACAGGGGCCCCGTGCTTTATGAGCTAACAGGTAGAATACAAATAATTATCATATTAGCCAGAAAATTAAGAGGATGGTTTTTCTGCTCTCAGTCTATGTGTCTGCCACAAGAGAGCCTCAAAGCCTCAAAGCTTGGTAGAAGCTCAAAAGGTGACATCAAGTTGGGCGATAAAGAAAGACTTTTTTTTTTTATTTGAGATGGAGTTTCGCTCTTGTCAACCAGGCTGGAGTGCAGTGGCACAATCTTGGCTCAGTGCAACCTCCACCTCCCAGGTTCAAGCACTTCTCCCACCTCAGCCTCCTGAGTTGGTGGGACTACAGGCATGTGCCACCACACCTGCCTAATTTTTTATTTTTAGTAGAGACAGGGTTTCACCATTTTAGTCAGGCTAGTCTTGAACTTCTGACCTCAGGTGATCCACCCACCTCAGCTTCCTAAAGTGCTGGGATTACAGGCATGAGCCACCGCACCCGGCCAAGAAAAGCTTTTTGTAAGAGCTATTCTCAGAAATGGACCATGAAGGAGGAGCAGAATTTTAAGAGGCAGAAATGAGAAAAGGAAATTCTAGAAAGATGGAGGCTGGCTGGGTGCAGTGACTCATGCCTGTAATCCCAGTACTTTGAGAGGCTGAGGCGGGTGAATTACCTGAGTCCAGGAGTTCAAGACCAGCCTGGCTAACATGGCAAAACCCCGTCTCTACTAAAAATACAAAAATCAGCTGGGCATGGTGGTGGGCGACTGTAATCCCACCTACTTGGGAGGCTGAGGCAGGAGAAGCACTTGAACCCGGGAAGCAGAGATCACTGTGAGCCGAGATCACGTCAGTGCACTCCAGCCTGGGAGGCAAGAGCGGAAACTCCATCTTAACAAAAAAAGAGGGAGGCAACACAATGCTTTTGGGAAGGTTTTGCTTTAAAAACTAGGTGGGTTCACTTGTAAGTCATTGGACAGTGCTGTCCTCTTGAACAAGTTAGCCTTTCAGAACTTTAGTTTCTCCTTTGTATAATGAGGATAATAATATCTACCTCATAGAGCTGTGAAGATTAAATAATAATGCACGAAAAGTCTAGCATACTCATTGGCATATAATTGGCATCCAACTAAGTTAGCTCAGACTATTATGATCATTACAAGAGTCAAGAGTGGAGGGTGACAAGCACAGATGATCTGGGACTATGCAGGGAACTAGCTGCTTGGAGTGTAAGGTTCTTGTATGAGGATACCAAAGATGAAACTAAAGAAAGGGTGATGCTTTTCTTTGTATAGCGTCTGAAATACTGGGCTAAGGACTTTGGTTCAAATCAGTAGGCAATATGGAATTACTGAAGAGTCTTGAGACAGGAAATATTTTTGTTCATTTTTTTTTTTTTAGAAGGAAGGTCTTACTCTGTCACCCAGACTGGAACGCAGTGGCGCAGACACCACTTACTGCAGCCTCAACCTGCTGGGCTCAAGGGATCCTCCTGCCTCAGCTTCTCAAGTAACTGGGACTACAGGGGTGCACTACTGTGTCTGGCTTTTAATTTTTGTAGAGACAGGGTCTCACTGTGTGGCCCAGGCTGGTCTTGAGAACTCCTGGCTTCAAGGGATCCTTCCTCCTTGATCTCCCAAAGTGCTGGATTACAGGTGTGAGCCACATTAAAAAAAATACATATATATAATATATAATACATATATACATATATAATATATACATATATAATGTATACATATATGTATTATATATATTATATATAATTGTATAAAGATATATTTAAAATATATAATTCCATATATATCTAGATCATTGATATCTATCTATCTATATCTTTTGAGACAGGGTCTCATTCTGTCACCCAGGCTGGAGTGCAGTAACATGATCATGACTAACTGCAGCCTTGACTTCCTGGGCTCAAGCAATCCTCCTACCTCAGTCTCCCAAGTAGCTGGGACCACAGGCGCATGCCACCACACCCAGGTAAATTTTGTATTTATTGTAGAGATGGGATCTCGCCATGTTACCCAGGCTGATCATGAACTCCTGAGCTCAAGCAATTCTCCCACCTCAACCTTCCAAAGTGCTGAGAGTACAGGCATGAACCACTGCACTTGGCCAAAACAGGAAATTGTTTGCAGAACTCTGTTTTTGGAGAAGTGATGCGGGCTTAGACCTGTGTGGTCTAATACAGTAGCCATTAACTGCAAGAAGCTATTGAGCACTTGAGGTATGATACTTTGAAAAGTTCAAATTGAGATGTGCTGTGAGTATAAAATACAAAACTGGATTTTTTTTTCTGAAATAGATTTTTATTAAACGGCAAAGCAGAATTGCAGCACAATTTAAATGTCTGTAAATTAGGTCAGAAAATGGATGCAAAATGTTTGCAGTTTGAATTGTATAATTCATACAGGTAAAGTCATTCATCAACTCTTATGCCGGTGCCTAGATTATTCCATGATTAAAAATAGCCCAAATCTAATAACCGTAGGCTATATTAGTGGATCTATTTGCCTATTATAAGATTTTAGCATTACTTCTGATACTGATTTCTTTACCAAATGAAACCTACAAAGTAAATTTTTAAAATTTGAGGCCAGGCTGGGCATGGTGGCTCATGTCTGTAATCCCAGCACTTTGGGAGGCCATGGTGGGCAGACTGCTTGAGTCTAGGAGTTCGAGATCAGCCTAGGCAACATAATGAAACCCTGTCTCTACAGAAAATAGAAAAATTAACCAGGTGTGGTGGCATATTAATTTAGTCCCACCTACTTGGGAAGCTGAAGTGGGAGAATTGCTTGAGCCTGGGAGGCAGAGGTTGCAGTGAGCCAAGATTGTGCCACTACTCTCCAGCCTGGATGACAGAGCAAGACCCTGTCTCAGAAAATAAATAAAATAAAATAAAATTTGTTAAAGGATAACAACAAAGGATGACTGTGAATCAAGTAGTTGAGTTTACAGAAAATTCTGAGAGAACAAGTAAGATAAAATATTGAGCAAGATTGTCAATAAGTATATATGTGAAATGCTCCTATTTCATTCACAATTCTAATACTACTGTACTGCTAAGGAGTTTTGTGAAAGTTGATCTACTGGGTACAAACAAATCCAGAAACCAAACTCTTTGTAACTGTTCTGCCAGATGTGGCTTACATAAGATTAGTAAAACTTAATTCACTTTCATATATATTTCCCAAAAGATCTACTCTGTGCCAGAGATAACACAAATCTGGAGTGAAAACATTTGCAGTTCACTACTATTTACCAAGTACTTTTTCACCCTATTTCTATTTTTCCTCTAAATTTTGTATTTTAAACCTACACATGACCAACTTTTCTTTCCAGATAATATAAAGTGAGTTTCTTTGTGCAAGAACAAATTTTTAACAACAAATCTTCCTAAGTTGACAATTCAGTTTCAAAGAAAAATATTTATTTTTATAGCTTCCATCTGTTTTAAATGAATTAAAGAGAAACAAACATTCCTATCTTAACACTAAATATCAAAAATGAGAAGCCCTAGCTGAGAAAGTATCTTATTTTGGTTAAGTTTCAGCAATCAAAGTACAGGTTACTTTCAGAGATGATTCACTGTTAAAATGACTCAGAAATGTGAAACTAATTTTTTCCTTAGAGGAAGGGAAAGAGGAAGAGGCAAATGGAAAATGGAGAGGAGGCATAAGATGGTGCAAGGGTACATAATGCTGTACATTCAGGGCATGATTTGGTCACTTTTTCACAACAGGTGGTCATTTTTCTTGTATATCTTACTAAGCCTATAGTAAAAGATAGTGCTAAATCTATAAATCAAGGCAAATTTGATAAAACATTTATCTTTAAGTTTCATAAATATATGCAATTTTTTTTTTTATATGGAGTCTCACTCTGTCGCCCAGGCTGTAGTACAGTGGCGCGACCTTGGCTCACTGCAACCTCCGCCTCCTGGGTTCAAGTGATTCTCCTGCCTCAGCCTCCTGAGTAGGTGAGATTATAGGCACGTGCCACTGCGCCTGGCTAATTTTTGTATTTTTAGTAGATATGGGGTTTCACCATGTTAGCCAGGCTGGTCTTGAACTCCTGAGCTCAAACAATCTGCCCGCCTTCTCCTCCCAAAGTGCTGGGATTACAGGCATGTGCCACCACACCTGGCAAGTATATGCAATTGTAATTGTAGTCTCTACAATTCATTTGCATGTTTTCATAGACTAATATATATGCAAATTTAGGGAAGTCTCCTGTTGATGCTGTTAATTTTGCCTACACCTGACAATTTCTTCATAAATATTCAAGGAAGCCACAAACAAAGGTGCTTTTCAAGGTAAAAGCCACAAACAAAGGTGCTTTTCACAAACAAAAGTAATTTTTTGAAATCTGTCCAAGTTTTAAAGAAAAAAATGATCAGCAGCAATTCCCTGAAATGGAAGGTTGTCCATTCTTACTTTCTTTTGCTTACTATGTCAGTTGTTTGAAAAACACTAGAAGCTGACATGAGACTTTCTATATGTTGTCCAACAACTTGGTTTTCTGATTTTAGCTTCAGATTTTCATCCTTACCTGCATCCGCTCTTGCAGAGAGAACTGTGTGTGTTGGAATTTCCACACTTGATTAGTAAGTCATGTTTTTTTCCTCCACTTCCACCTGATTTTCAGCATCAACTGCATCCATGTCAGCACTCATCATCTTGGGTAACAAACTTTTAAGTCTTGGATATGAAATGCTTGATGAGTGTTCCAGTTGGAGGGGCCAGAAGCGGGAGGGATTGGGAAGATGCCTCAGGCCTGGACACTTGAACCAACTAACAGTGCTCTCCAAAACTGAATTTTGAAGATGGTACCAAAAATAATCTCACCAATAATTTATTGATTATAAATAGAAAGAATAATGTTGGCTGGGTGCCGTGGCTCATGCCTGGGAGGCCGAGGCGAGTGGATCACCTGAGGTCAGGAGTTCGAGACCAGCCTGACCAACACGGAGAAACCCTGTCTCTACTAAAAATACAAAATTAACCAAGCATGGTGGCACATGCCTGTAATCCCAGCTACTCGGGAGGCTGAGGCAAGAGAATCGCTTGAACCTGGGAGGTGGAGGTTTCGTGAGCCAAGATCGCGCCATTGCACTTCAGCCTGGACAACAAGAGCAAAACTCTGTCTCATAAAAAAAAAAAAAAAGAAAGAAAATAAAGCATAATGTTATGTATATTATCATTGAGTTAAATAAAATGTGTATTTTTGTTTGTTTTTTGAGACAGAGTCTTGCTCTGTTGCCCAGGCTGGTGTGCAATGGTGCAATCTCAGCTCACTGTGACCTCTGCCTCAGGGGTTCAATCAATTCTCCTGCCTCAGCCTCCCAAGTAGCTGGGACTACAGGGGTGCACCACCACGTCCGGCTAATTTTTTGTATTTTAGTAGAGACAGGGTTTCACCATATTGGCCAGGATTGTCTTGATCTCCTGACCTAGTAATCTTCCCGTCTTAGCCTCCCAAAGTGCTGGGATTACAGGCATGAGCTAACACACCCAGCCTAAAATGTGTGTGTTTTTTTGTTTTTCTGCTTTTTGTTTTTTGAGATGGAGTCTCACTCTGTCATCCAGGCTTGAGTGCAGTGGCTCACTGTAACCTCTGCCTCCCAATTGATTCTCCTGCCTCAGCCTCTCAAGTAGCTGAGACTACAGGCACATGCCACTACGCCCAGCTGCTTTTTTGTGTTTTTGGTAGAGATGAGGTTTCACTGTGTTAGCCAGGATGGTCCCAATCTCCTGACCTTGTGATCTGCCTGCCTTAGTCTCCCAAAGTGCTGGGATTACAGGCATGAGCCACTGTGCCTGGCCAAATATGTTTTGAAATTAATTTTACCTCACTTTTTTCTGTTTTACTTTTTGTTTGTTTGTTTTGAGGTGGAGTCTTGCTCTGTTGCCCAGGATGGAGTGCGGTGACATGATCTCAGCTCACTACAACCTCTGCCTCCAGGTTCAAGTGATTCTTGTGCCTCACCCTCCTGAGTAGCTGAGATTACAGGTGTGCACCACCACGAAGGCCTAATTTTTGTATTTTTAGTAGAGACAGGGTTTCACCATGTTGGCCAGGCTGGTCTCGAACTCCTGACCTCAGGTAATCCACCTGCTTCAGCCTCTCAAAGTGCTGGTATTACAGGCATGAGCCACAGCTCATGGCCCATGTTTTACTTTTTAAATATGGCCACTAGAGAACTTAGATTTGGTCTGTGGCTTATGTTCCATTTCTGTTGGACAGCTCTGTTTCAGAGGTTGTGGAGGGTGGTACAGTCGTGAATCAGGGACTCAGGGACTTGCCCTTCCAGCATGGTGAACTACATCTCGGCTCACTGCAACCTCCGCCTCCCGGGTTCAAGCAATTCTCTTCTTGCCTCTGCTTCCCAAGTAGCTGGGATTACTGGCCTGCGCCACCACACCCAGCTGATTTATTTTTAGTTTCACCATGTTGGCCAGGCTTGTCTTGAACTCCTGACCTCAGGTCATCCGCCCACCTCCCAAAGTACTGGGATTACAGGTTTGAACCACTGCTGCTGGCCTCTATTTTTGGTTTCAAACAGCCTCTTCACATGTCTTTTAGAACACAACCCTTTTACAAGTTGGAAACTGCTTGTATGTATAGGACTTAATATACACTAGTTAAAAAAGGCTATTTCTGGCCTGCACTTGCACTTTACAAATGAAATGAAGCAGCTGTAATTCACCTTCAGCCTTAGCACTACCTTAGGTACCTTTACTTCCTCTGCCTCTTCGGTTATTGCTGCCATTAGTAGCAAGTACCTCTACCAAAGGGCTGGGCTGACTTCCCAGGTAGGCAGGATATAAGAAGGAGAAATGATTCGAAGGAAAGTTGTTCTGTGCCCATGCTTCCTGTTGTTCATATTTGTGGCACTCTGCCCACACTTCCACCACTTCCGTCCACAATGATCTTGCTTAAGCCTAAGTTCCAGTTTCCTCATCTGTAAAGAGGGA